CAGCCTAGCTCACGGCAACCTCAAACTCCTGGGCTCAAGCGATCCTCCTGCCTCAGCCTCCCAAGTAGCTGGGACTACAAGCATGCGCCACCATGCCCAGCTAATTTTCTCTACATATTTTTAGTTGTCCAGATAATTTCTTTCTATTTTTTTTAGTAGAGACGGGGTCTCGTTCTTGCCCAGGCTGGTCTCGAACTCCTGAGCTCAAGCCATCCTCCCACCTCAGCCTCCCAGAGTGCTGGGATTACAGGCATGAGCCAACGCGCCCAGCCGATGGTGGTTGTTTTGAAGGTACAGTCACAAAGCAGGGAGAACAGTGATGTGGCTGCTTGGTCCAGAGGCTGTGGCTGCAAGGAGGGACAGATGAGGGAATTAGGAGGAAGACTCAGTAAAACCTGCGGTTCATCCATGCAAAGGCTAAGGACAGCCATGAGTCGGGACAGGCAAGTTTCTGCCTTGGGGACTACGGGGACCTCATCCCAGAGGCCCTTACCGGACAAGCAGACAGAGCGAAGCCAGGGTTCTCCAGCGCCAACCTCTGCGTGGGGATGTTTGAAGAGGTGGTGACTGACCCTTGGCAGTCTCCAGCGACTAGACAACGAGCTCTAGAAAGAAAGGGTCCCCCTGCAGCCATGTTGGATAATGGCCTCCAGCCAAGTCACAAAAGAAACTGAGCCCCACGGCTCCCCCAAAAGAGGAGGAGACCCTGGGAGCCTTTGGGGGTGAAAATATTGTTCGCACAGTGCAGAGAGGCAGGGTGTGGCCCCAGAGCCCCGCTGAGCTGGGGGCACACCCCAGGGGGACCAGGGCAGGGCCTCAGAGCTGAGAGCTGGTTCCAGCCGCAGCTGCTGCAGGTTCGCATCTTCTGCCGGCAACCGCAGCTCTCCGGACCCCTGCGAGGAAGGAAGTGGCTATTTCGTTGCTCTCCCCAGTCTGGGGCACTTTGCATCACCGCCCAGGAGCAGAGAGCACGGAGCAGTTGAGGCGAATTGCAAAAGCTGCCTCGTCCAGCCCTTCCTCCTGGGCCCTGGGGCCCGGGCCAGGGCAACCGGCCGGCTCGAGTTGATGCTTAAAAACCTTTGTCTCAGC